TTGAATTAGATGAAAACTAGCAGAGATATCTCGAAAATTAAGAGCTACACTGAGACTAAAATTTTGGGAATAAACATTGAGTCAAGTTGCAGGGTTTCGTATCCCTACAGGGAGGATAGGAGTAGGGTCGTCTGTCCAGCCTTATTTGCTCCCATAGCTAAAGACCCCCCCACTCGTTGCAAATTATTCAAACAACATTGAACCATTTTAGTCCCAAAATTTCATGCTAAGATTTGTAAGTGATTAAAGAGTAACTTACCTTTCCTAACGAGTTTAAATGTTCAGGTAATACTTCCTTCTCAGCTTCCATCTCTATAGCATTTAATAAACTTGGTAAAATAAAACTCCACATCTGAGCTACATATTGTTCACCTCGTATCTTGGCACAATCTATTAAATATGGTAAACTTTCCGATGCTGCTATTCTTACATCTTAAGATTATGTTAAGGATGTTTTTTTTTTTTAAAAATCAAAAACTTTTCAATTTGCCGTCTCAGATATATATGACTGAATCAAACAGGTTAATTCTGCGTGAGAAACCTTTAGTTACACATAAGGTGCATTGTCCTACTTTAATGCACAAATTGGGCTTATGAAGACAGAAATGAAATGAAATGGGGTTTAGCGTCCTACTGTTTTGCTCCGAACTGGGCTAATGAAGACGGGCATACGCCATACAGTGTGCTATGAGGGAAATTTTGCCCGGACAGCGGCACTACGGCCTACTCTTATATCGAATTCCAACTGTCAAGTGATCTTTTACGTGCACGCCAATGTGTACACGGGACTTCGGTTTTCCGTCTCATCCGAATGACTAGACAGCTGTCCTTGTCAGGCCCTCCGTCCTGCATCACTGACAAGGGGAAACCACGCCGGAAAATCTGGATGAACTTTCTCGGCCAATGCAGGGATCGAACACCCGACCTCCAGGCTAGCGAGCCAGCGCCTTACCCACTTAGCCACCGTGATCCCCTTATGAAGACAGACATATACCAACGTGTAAATGGGACCTAGGTTTTCATCCTATCCGAATGACAGGATGCTGTTCCATGCCAGGCACTCAGTCCTGCACCACTGACAAGAGGTAAACCCCATCAGAATCCTAGTTCGATAAAACTAATTTAAAGGGGCATTATGTAAGATTTAGATAAAGAGTCGGTCATTCTCGAAATTTTATTTCAATGCAAAATGAATATATTGAAAATTTCTTTATTTTGAGCAAATTTATCAAAGGCTGTAGTTTTGACAAGATGTGGTCATTCCGTAACACTGTACTGGTCATTAGAGTCTTAGCCTCATTAAATGGCCAAACAGTCCTAATCTACTTAAAACGGATCCAGATAAATAAGACCCAATCGTACCAACAACAAACATCTGATATAACCTTGTCATGACCGCATGGATGGGGTAAGTACATGCTGACCACATCCAGATAATTTCTATTTTATCTGGTATATTTATAAAAGGATACCATCTTGAAAGTAGAATTTAAGTAATGGGACCATTAGTTGTACAACTTCTTCTGTATAGGCTGCAAAAGCTTCTTTTAATTCTCTAGCGTAACACACCAACATCTGACAAGCTGTCGCTTTCTCTTCTAAACCAGCTGTTCTAATACCAAAACTTTGCTGAAACAATTCATTTGTATCTATTAATGTCAATCTTAATAAAATTTTATCTTTTCTGTGTTCCCTCTTTATGATTCCGATTTTCTCAATCTGATTAAACACAGATCCTATTTCGATTCGTTCTTTTATAGTTCAAAATTTCGTTTTACTTGTCTTTAATACACTAGGATCTGGAAGAGTTGTTATCATTGACATGTTCTGGATGATGTGAGGGATTAGCCAATGAAACAGTCTGTTACGGCGAGCTTTTGGTGTGTGGTGCACAGATCAGGGGCTAATTAAATGTCTGATGGCATAGGTTCAAAAGCCGCTTGAACATGACTTCATTGTCTTTATTTATTTACATTATACAACGAAGACAAATGAAATGAAATGGGGTTTTTAACATCCTACTGTTTTGCTCTAACTTGGCTAATGAAGACGGGCACTATGGCCTGTTCTTATATCGAATTCCCACTGCCAAGGGATATTTAACATGCATTCCAATGTATACACAGGAGCTCGGTTTCCTTCCCCTCCAAGCGACTAGACAGTTGTCCTTGTCAGGCCCTCTGCACAACTAAGACAGATTATAAAAAGGTTAAATGTTGATTATAAAAGGGTTTAATTTCAATGTTCTTACCTGATCACCAAGGGTAACAAACTGCCAGTCAGCATCATTCTCCATAACTTTCATATCATCACCTGAATGTAATTATAAACTTTAATATAATCAGATACAGTATTGGTTACAAAGTCAACTAATCGTGGTTTCTACTGGAACCCACTCTACTCCACTAACCCCTGGATTCATTCACGGGGGAAGACACAGTCAAATTATCTTCCCTTGTTATTTGTGCTATTTTTATTGACCAATCAAAAATAAAAAGTGGGCAAAGAGAAATAACTCATATTTTGTTGAAACTAAGATTGTCGAATCATTGTTGTATACTTTGTCAAAATACTTTAGGACACCTTTTTTTCTGTGCATGTCATTCTTTGATATTAACTTTTATGCAAACTTTCTCATAATTGAACACACATGCTGCTGTTTTGTGGAAACATAAAACAATGATGCTAAGACTGGTATGTAAACTGTTTTTTGATTGGTTTATAGAACCAACCTAAGATCAAGGGCAGATAAATTGAATTCGTGAACACCCTGTGAATGGACCCAGGGCTTATTGCAGTTAGTGAAGTAGAATGAAACGATACCAAAGGGTATACCGAGGATGTTTGATCTTATGGACATAAACAATTGTTGTTCAAAGTAAAAAGTTAGAAATTCGATTAGAGATATTTAAAGAGTTATCAAACTTGTTGTATAATATCGATACATACCATCTACAACAGCAACTTCAGGTTTAAGTGAAGCAGCTTTTAATACAGGTCCCATAACTAATGGTAAATACTGCTGAAACTCAGCGCCTAATATTTTACACATTCTAGCCCACGCAGATATCATATATGAAATCTGAAATAAATAAACATGACATTAAGATTTTGAATCCTTACTTAACCTGTTGACCAAATTAGCTTCTTGTGGCTAATACACATAGCCTATCAAATACATCAATAGGAAAGTGGAGCTATGGCCCAAGGAACCTCGATTTTTTGTCCTATCCAAACAACTATACATTGTCCCATGCCATCCCTTCTGTCCTGCACTGCTGACATGGGGGAACACCACGCCGGAAAATCCTGATGAACTTTCTTGGCAAACACCGGGATCGAACATGGGAATTCTAGGTCAGTAGGCCAATGTCTTAATCACAGAACCAACGTGGCCCAGCAAAAGGGTTAAAACCACAGCGAACACAAAATATAATTTGAACTTGTATTACTTCAAATATCAATTTAATTTTAACATGTATTACTTCAAATATCAATTTAATATAAAATTTAAACTACCTGTGGATCATCGTCTGCCAGATCTTCTGCTTCAGTTTGTGTTTTGAGTAAAAGTTGCATGACATCATTACAATCTTGTCCAAACTATAAAACATGTGAAACAAACATCTAGGTCAAAAAGAAGATTTTCAATGTTCACAATAAATATAGAAATGAAATGAAAATGGAGTTGAACGTCCTACTGTTCTGCACCGACTGGGATAATGAAGATGAATCCGCCATACAGTGTGCTATGAGTGAAATTTTGCTCGGATAGTGGCACAACACCCTACTCTTATATCAAATTCTAACTGTCAAAGTATTTTTTACGTGCATGCCAACGTGTACACAGAACCTCGGTTTTCCGTTGCATCCGAACGACTAGATAGTCGTCCTGCATCACTAACAATAGGGAACCACGTCGGAAAATCGGGATGAACTTTCTCGGCTATCGACAATTTGAAGAAAGTTTCAGTGTAAATATAAAGATGGCAGGATAGTTAATCTTACCTTTTCCTTGCCAACAGCTAAACCAATCAAACTGATACATTCTATTGTCTTTCCTCGTAATAAACGTAACTCAACCTGTACAGCATGTTGGACGATATATTTTAAACAAGGCATAAATCTGTAATAACAACACAAGTTATAAATATCACTAAAATATCAACAGTAGATAACACTGTAACCTGGGTATCATTTAATCTTGTGTATTTAGCACTAATATTTCCAGTTTAAAGCTGACCATTCAATTTTGATTAATTTTGATAATGAGTGTCTAATTTACAAGTGTTTAATTTCTCTATAACTGTTAAAAAATAAACCCCAATTGATATTATACATCAATTTAATGATTAATTTTTTAACAGTAGTCATGAAATTAAACACTTGTAAATTGGACACTCATTATCAAAATTAATCAGTCAGTTTTAAACTGGAAACAAGTACAAATTAGATAATTTTGGGTGATTTTAAATGATTTTTACAAATTTTTAAATAAAGATTTGATATTGAATAAATGTGAAAGAAATTAATGATTAAATGATATACAGTTTACAGTGAAATCTCCTGGCATGGATGATTAAATTTTTTTTTATCTATATCAGCAGTAAAGGATGACAAATGCTAAAATCTTTCAATTCGTCAGATCTATGTAAATACAGAATGGAAATGAACCATTTTTGGAATCCTATTCATTTTAGAAATTCAGCTGTCATAAGGAATTTAAAACCTCTTAAACAGATCTTATTTTATACTCGTGCAATTGTTGGTGTACATTTTTAAAATGCATTTTTTAAATCAGGGTTATAATACCTACTTGTCATAATATTTGATGAATTTTTCTTCTGCTGTATCAGCCACGGAGGCTAGAGTTGTCACCACTTGTTCTAATACTAATTTATTACCTTTCTCTAATAACTGTAATATAACAATATATCAATATAAACACCCCCTCTAAAAACTGTAATATATCAATATAAACACGCTCTCTAATAACTAACCTAATATATCAATATCAACACTTTCTCTAATAACTGTAATATAACAATATATCAATATAAACACTCTCTCTAAAAACTAACATAACAATATATCAATATCAACACTTTCTCTAATAAACTGTAATATAACAATATATCAATATAAACACTCTTTAATAACTGTAATATAACAAATACTTATAACTGTAATATAACAAATATTTATATCAATATTAGATACTAAAATCAGACCTGTAAAAACATTGCCACAATTGTACTTGACCCCAAATAAAATAGACTGCTTGAATGTAAAAACTGCAAAAAACTGGCTTTGTGTGCTAAATCAGTGGGGGTGTGTGTGTTCAGATATTTGTTACGGAATCTTATCCACTGTACTGACATCCGATCAATTTTTTGCATATACATCAATGAATTTGCCAGACATGAAAACACGAGATATGAATGAAAATTTGTTGCCACATATCCCGGATATAAATTCTGTAAACTAACTCTTTAACAATATCTTTATTCACATGACATTTACACAAGCAGACGCAATGTAATACCCCTCCACCTGAACAAACCCAATCTTAAATTCTGAATTTAATAAATTAATCACCTCTTTAAACTTCCTGGATAAAACTTGTTCTAATTTCTGTACAATCGGATCAAGATACTGGACTAAAATATTCTTTGGACAATCTTCACTGAAGTTCACCAAGGCAGCTGCACCGTGCGCCTGCACACGGGGATTAGCATCATCATCCATAATATGTAGAAGCTCTGCAACAAGCTTTTCATGAAATTTCTTTTGAAATGTTGGTCCGAAATCTGTACACATCTGGCCAACTGCGTTACAGGTCGCAAAACGTACTCGCGGGTGCTAAAAAAAATACAAAATTTAAAGATTATCATTTGTGACTAAAATTAAATTCGAGAAATAATTTTCAAGCTTTGCGTTATCAAACAGCTCTCCTCATATCATCAGTTTGTATCGTTTTAATCAGCAAACAAAGAGTAAAAATGGACAAACTTTGTCATAAAGACTGTGATTCATCGAATTTCCTTCATATATAACACAGCATTGGAATAATAAAATAAGACAGGAAATGGGTTGTTTTTTCTTAGGGTGAACAAGTCTTTCTTTCAAAGGAAAACAAATCTTTCTTTCAGTACAATTGCCCCTTTTATCCAAAAAGAATTGATCCCAACACTAACTGCAAATGGTGGTGTTTTTAGCTCCCCTGCACGGTAACACCCTAAGTCCTAGCTAACAATGTGTTATCATGTTTAACTTATTAAATAAACACCCAGCTAATGTGTTGCCATGTTTAACTTACTAAAGAAACCCTAGCTAACCATGTGTTACCATGTTTACTTAATAATGAAACACCTAGCTAACCATGTGTTACCATGTTTATTTATTAATGAAACACTTAGCTAACTATGTGTTACCATGTTTACTTATAAAAGAAACCCTAGCTAACCATGTGTTACCATGTTTACATATAAAAGAAACGCCTAGCTAACTATGTGTTACCATGTTTACATATAAAAGAAACATCTAGCTAACTATGTGTTACCATGTTTAACTACTGACAGGATCTTTAAAGAATTATAAAAGAAACCCTAGCTAACCATGTGTTACCATGTTTACTTAATAATGAAACACCTAGCTAACCATGTGTTACCATGTTTACTTATAAAAGAAACCCCTAGCCAACAATGTGTTACCATATTTACTTATTAAAGAAACACATAGCTAACCATGTATTATCATGTTTAACTTATTAAATAAACACCTAGCTAATGTGTTACCATGTTTAACTTACTAAATAAACCCTAGCTAACCATGTATTACCATTTTTAACTTCCTAAAGAAACCCTACCTAACCATGTATTACTATTTTTAACCTATTAAAGAAACCCTAGCTAACCATGTGTTACCATGTTTACTTATTAATGAAACACCTAACTATGTGTTACACTGTTTACTTATTAAAGAAACCCTAGCTAACCATGTGTTACCATGTTTACTTATTAAAGAAACCCTAGCTAACCATGTGTTACCATGTTTACTTATTAAAGAAACCCTAACTATGTGTGACCATGTTTACTTATTAAAGAAACCCTAGCTAACCATGTGTTACCATGTTTACATATAAAAGAAACGTCTAGCTAACCATGTGTTACCATGTTTACTTATAAAAGAAACGCCTAGCTAACTATGTGTTACCATGTTTAACTACTTACAGGATCCTTAAAGAATGGTAGAATGCCATCTGTTATATTCTGTAACATCTGTTCCATATGAGTGTGACAACCCTCACCACATGCTGATATCGCCATCAGAGCGGCATGTCTATATCGCCAATCATCTGAAATAACAAAATATATTCAAATTCAAAAACAGTATCTTGCCACAAACTTATCCTTTAAACTAAATATTTTACTGATAAACTTATGACGTATAGAGAGAGAGAGAGAAATGGGGTTTAACGTCCACTCAACACAAACTAGGTCATTTCGAGACCAACACACGATTCAATTTTATTACAATAATTCGCTTAGGACACGGAGAAAACCCACGAGGTTGGACAGGCAAGCGGGGAATCGAAACCATGCCAGTTGACTCAATGACAGACCGTATGATACAGTACGCACTTGCTAACCATTCAGCCTCCACCCCCTCTTATGATGTAGAAAAGATTGTATTAATCCATTTTCGTGTAATCATTTCACATGCACCATTAACCTCCTACTTTCTGTTCCTAATGGGCTAATGAAGATGCAGTGTGCCCAGACAGTGGCCTACTCTTGTATCGAATTCCAACTGCCAACTGAGACCTTGGTTTTTCGACCTGAATGACTAAACGCAGTCTCTTGCCATACCCTTTGCTCTGCACCAATGACAAGGGGGAACCACGCAGGGAAATCCCAATGAACTTTCTCTGCCAACAAGCACTGGTATGTAGTTTTTTTGTGTCTTTATTTAAATTACGAACACATGTCAGGTTTCTCTTTTTTTTTTAAAACTGCTGTATAAGATATTCAGCGAGTCACCACAACTTGATAAGGACCTCACAGCTACAAGAGCGTAGAATAATGGACCCCAACATGAATATAAACAAGTGTACGTACCACTGGCCAACATCTGTGGAATGTTAGCTAAGATATGTGGTAACATAGTTTTACCACCTAAAGCACAGGCCAATCGATCTAAAGCACTTTCAGCAGCTACAGAATTACTAAAAAAAAAAACAAACATCATCAATTAGAAGATTAACACAGACTGTTTAGAATTTAGAGAACTGATATTGTCCATTTGATGATCCTTAAATCATTAAAGGCTGAAATCACCCATGAAATTCAGAGGACTGTCATGCTTATTCAGTGCCACTTTTCGAACAATCAGAATTCAAGAAGTTTTCATTTTATCTATTCTAGATAAATAAAGATTTCATTTTATTATTTCCTTGAACTAATGAAACAGAATTAGGTTTAATGTCACTTTTATTTTACAATTCCAGGGAGGAGAAAGTTGCTTGGACAGGTTCACAAGCTGGACCTCAATGTTTGTCCCCACACTTTATGTGTCAGCCCTGCTGTCACCATCCCTGGCAAGTTGTATGGATAAAGTTGTATGGGTAATATTTGGCATGTGGTAAGTAAGTGCGTCATGTTGAGATTAATAAGCCATCCCCCAAACCTTTGTTTAAAAGTACCACACAAAATCTGAAGTCCATCCATTACTTAGTATCCAAAATATGATTATCTCTCATTTCTAAATACCTGTCATTATCTTCGTCATCTTGATCATCTTGAACAGCCCAGTCATCTTCTTCCTCTAGATCCACCATTAACGCTAAAATCTGAGGAACTGAAATAGAGCAATCAACGAGATATACATGTCCTCCATTATCATGTTTTGAAATTCTTCCATCTCAACACGCAATATTTTTGGTAGGAATTGAAATGGTTTTTAACATCCAACTGTTCTGCGCCAACTGGCCTAATGAAGACAGGCATATGCCATACAGTGTGCCGAGGAAAAATTTTGCCATAAAATCCTGCTGAACTTTCTCCCGATCAAATTAAAGAGAAAGAGAGAGAGAGAACTGGGGTTAAACGTCCACTCGACACAAACTAGGTCACTTCGGGACTAACACATGGTTTAATTTTATTTCAATCATTGCGCGTTGGGGTCTTTAGCAGTAGGAGGAAACCGGAGGACCCTTAGAAAACCCACGAGGTTGGGAACTTTCTCAGTCACACCAGGATCAAACACAGGATATCCACTTTAGCGAGCCAACATCTTACTCACTGAGCCACTGTGGCTCATTTCTGATAAGAGCACATCATTTCAACACAAGAGTTTATTGTGTTTTATACTGATCTGTCAGCACAATTGTCACTCTTTCCCAATTGTTCAAAGGAGGACGTTCAATTTACCAGTCTTTTAATATTCTGATGTATTTTGCTTATTTAAAAAGAATATGACAACTCTAGCATTAGCTCAATATATAAATACTAAAAATAGAACTGCGTTTATTGAGCATTACATAATTCTTTGTAATTATGACCAGCAAATATGACCAAAACAAAAACCCTGATGTAAATATAACAAACTTACCAAGCAATGGAATAAATTTTCCAAACTTTCTGACCATAGCTGGTGCTGTCTCGGATAAGGTAACAATGGCTTCCATAGCCAACTGTCTCCATTGATCTCCAAGATTAGCATCAGATAAAACCTACAAATATTATATCCATTTTATTCTGATAATCCACGAAATGAATGATAAAAATGCTTTAACAAATCTTGACAATTTGTGGCTGAAAAATGGCTATGGATTTCCACTTAAATGTTTTAATAGTCTTAGATTTAATAAAGATCCCTAAAATTAAAGCCAACTAGCCATAGACATTGTCCGATCGCCCTGGTCAGGTACGATTCCTCTGGTACTTATGGTTTCTTTGTCCGACACAGGTCCCCCTCTCCCCTCACCCCTCCAGCTAAAACCATTTTTTCCAGACTCAAAAAGAACCTGTTAAACAGTAATCAATGACTATCTTACCTTCAAACAAAAGGGGATAATATTTTCCATCTGTGGTCGAAGGAATTTGGGAGTACTTTCTGCCAGTTCTATCAGGCACTTTAAGAGGTCATCATCATCTTGTGCACTAACACTATCAACCATGGCGTCCATCATGGCAGGAACCAAGTCTTTATAATGATTTAAAATTGTCTGATCTTTATCATTAGCTATAACAAATGCTGATAAACACTTCACCGCCATAAAACAAACCTGATTAAACAAAAAAATCAATAAAATAAAATGGAGTTTAACATCCTACTTTTCTGAAATGGGGTTTAATGTCCTAGTTTTCTAACCAAACTAGCATATTCATTGATGTGGTCTATGAAAATGAAATGGGGTTTAATGTTAATGTCCTACTTCGACTGGGCTAATGAAGATGAGCATAAGCCATACATTGTGCAATGAAGGAAATATTGCCAAGACAGCAGCACTACACTACTGACAAGGGGAACCACGCCGGAAAATACCAACAAACTTTTTCGGCCAACGCAGTGATCAAACAGGGGACCTCCAGGTTAGCGAGCCAATGTCGTACCTACTGAGCCACCGTGGCTCCCTGTGGGCTATAAGGAAAATTTTGCCTTGGCAGCAACATTTCTGCTTCCTGTCTCAAATTCCAACTGTTGGAGTTTCTTATACATACATAATAACAAGCAAGTCAGACAGACCTTGGTTTTTCTCGCAATCCAAACGACTAGAAGCGTTTTCCTTGCAAGATCATCTGTCCTGCACCACGGACAAACAGATAAAAATCAAATTTTGAATCTGCATATTTCTTTTTCTATTCAGTCAGGCTATGATCACGAGTCATAAAATAAATAATGATGCAGTAATGTTAAAGTAATGATGCATCAATTGCATTTTTTGCTAAAATATCAAATTCTTCATGGTTTACTCATCCTGAATATGTACTCGGATTGATTATTTAACATTTAATTAAGAAATGAAAAACTTCAATTCAATAGGATTTAAAATAGGCCCATCAAGCCTATTTTAGAGTGATCAGATTAGATCGATGAAATTTCAATTCCACATAACTTTGTAAATACTGAAGGAAATGAACCATTTTTGGACCGATATGGCTATTAGAGATTCACCTTTCACAACATTTAATTTGCAATAGACTCCTATCATGCTTAAATGGATTTTAACTTTGAAGAGAAATGTACGTACCATTGGATGAGCACGATCTTGTAAACATTGTAATAACATTTGTTTAATAACATCTAGATAATGAGCTTGTTGATTACCAAATATAGTTGGTACAGAACTGAAAGGCAAAAATAATCATAATGGTTCATCAAAAAATCGTTATCCATCACACAACAATTTTACTTTTAAATACCGAAGCATTTCAATTTTTTTAAGGGAGATAAACCTTGGTTAAGGTCAAAATATTGAATTAGGTTTATCTAAGATGTTATTTCAAACATAAAATCCAATCGAATCAACAATTCTATTTTTAACCCAAATAAAAGAGCTCATCCACATTGAGTATTTTTGTGCTACAAACTAGGTCATTTCGGGACTAACATATGGTTTAATTGTTTTATTTCAGTAATTCGCTTGCGGTAGGGGTCTTTAGCAGTGGGAGGAAACCGGAGGACTCAGAGAAAACCCAAGAGGTACTGGAAATAGAAATGAATAAAATGTCAAGTTTAGAAAATAAGAAAAAAAAACAACAACTATCCCTGCTGATTTTACCCACCTAAAGATGGTAAGTGCCGACTCCCGTAGACCTGGTTCAGGTGAACTAGCACATTCAAACATAAACTTTAAAACTTCAGGCCACATCATGTCATTTTCTTCACCTGATAAATCAAATCATTTTATATACAATGTAGGTTAGTTTGGAAGAAGATTAGAGGGAATTTTCTGCCTTCTATCTATCGTTCTCTAGGATCTTCCAGCCAATAGTTATTATTTGTACTCATAAAGAATCTAAAACCATTTGGGTCTTAAGTTGTTCTTAAGTGTTTTTAACATCCGCTTCCACCAAAGGTGATATCGAAAACAAGTTGTCTTTTTATTTATTTATTTTTTTATTTTCATTATCTGAGTGCACATGCAGGGGTCTTTCCTGTGGGATGAAACCGGAGTAAACCCACAAGGTTGAGAAGGCATCCCTATCTCCAAGCCACATATGCTCACACCAGGCATCGAAAACACAACCGCAAGCCAGAGGTGACCGGCCAGCTAGAGGTCAAAGCCTGACACTCTAGACCACTAGGCCATCCCAACCCCCCCACCATTTGGGTCACAGACTTTTAGCATTCATGTTATTCACTTTCCGAAAATGTTATTTAGATGCTGCTCTTACTGACAACATTTTACACTTTGAGCATAATTGTGTGATGACTGAGCTGGATAAATATCTTTATAAAGTTTATTATTATTTTGAATATCAAATGATATTTTATTTACTCCGCCCACGTGACCAATCACGGTATCTGGACACCCATCTTCCGAGGGAAGGGGGTGGGGGGTTGAAAACAAAGATCCACTTCAGAAACCTTAATTGATATAGTTGCCAATGGTACAATTAATTCAGAAAATTCTCGAAATATAATATATCAAGTTCTAACCTATCAGATTTCTAGCCAGTTCTGCTACAACTTCACAAATTTTTTTCCGAACAGGGGGACTTAACTCCTCTCTTATTGCCATCATCAACTGTGCTTTGATGCTGTTCTGTATGTCTGGTTCAAGGGTCGGCCATACTTCTGTAAATTCATTACAGAAGAGTCTGCGTAACAGAATGCAGGACATGCTGCGATTCTAAACAAAAAATATCAACAAATAACTATATGTGTATGATAACAGCTTTAAATAAAGCATCTTCTTCTCAAATAATTTCTTACTGTCGTAGAATTAAATAAATTGTGTCTTTGATTAGAATAATACATTTTATAGAATAGACTTTATTAATACCTAAGCTACTTTTAACATTATAATTTTATAAGCCATTAATATGCCTGTGAATTCTATTATACATTTTTACAATAGAATATTAATGCCAAATCTACTTCATCATATTTTGATCAACCATAGCCGATTGTTGTTAGTAGCATCTAAGCAACACCAATGTGATGCACTTTCATATTACCATACCTCCAAACTGGTGCTGCCATTTCTCAAACTACGTAGTAATAATTCCAATTTCTTAATATTGTCTATAGCATTATAAACTTCCTGAAAGCATAAATTAAAAGACAAGTTAATTCAACCGCAATTTCAATTGGGACTTTAGATTGGCGAGTTGCTAGTATCGAGAAAGTCAGTACAGTAATTCAAGTGCACGTTGGGGTCTTTCGCAGCAGTACTCTACCAACCAACATCTCTGAATTTAAAGGAACTCAACTATAAATCTACAGTTCATACATGTAGTAGTGTCTCCAATCCACAAATTGTATACTATTATTAACATGCGATATCATCCAGAAAAATTAAAAAGGCTATCTATTCTAACTAAATCATAATAAGATATTTATCAAAACAACATCTTATTTTTTGGGCAGTGTATAAATGTTACTGCACATCTTATTTACAGATATCCGTTGTCAGTATTTAGAAATGGGTTAAATCCATTCTCGATACAAGAACTTAGCTAAAATGTTGGTTACAATTGGTGTGTATTAGTTTTGGAATGTGGTATTATCGGCCATAAAAAAACACTAGTTCCTTTAGGAACAAAACTCTGATCGGATGCTGTTCTTTGATCGTTCCTGTTCATCCCTATTAATCTGCAATATGAAAAAAAAACATTCCACGTCCACCGCTGTTCTAAGGCAATTTGGAACCCTTATCTTTTACTGTGATTCATCTTTCTTTGCCAAAAGGAATCATTTCTCGGACATCTGACACAAATCTATAATAATTCAACACTATTTTCAAGTAGAATTTTGCAAATAAAAAACAAACAAAATATATTTGCACTGGTCCGCCATTACGAGACTCGAACATATTGAATTATTATAAATTCCAAAATAGCTTTTGAACAGGTGGTGGTACAGCGGTATTTTTATATTGCAGCTTAATAGGAACGAACAGAAGCGGTCAGAGGACAGCATCCGATCAGACTATTTCTATTAAGGAATTATTAGTAAACTGAACCATGACAACCAAATTTTGTAAAAACATTCATACATTGGTCAAAACAATCTACCATGTAATGCCCATGCTATCTAATTTCCATGGAAGGAAGGTTCTTGGTAAAAAATTTGAGAAACCAATTCCTTCTTCTTTATAAATTGTAATTGTATAGGCATAAGATTAAGACGCAGTGTATATTTTTTGAAAGTTGAATATAAAATATTTCAGCATTTTTCTAATATTTATAAGATACAATCAAATTAGTGTAAATTACAAGATTGACGTGGGAGCTCAGCGCATAGCTTCGTGTGTCTACTGCGTATTGTGGGCTAGATCAGTCGTAATGATTAGTCACATGTGTCTGACATAGCGAGCACATGGTCGGCGGTTTGGCAAGTGGCAACAAATCGATGAATAACAACTCAAAAAGAAATATTTATTACCACGTAAATTACCAACCCCCAGTCATCAAAATTTGAACACATGTAACCGAACCCTAAACGTGTTTCTTACCTCTGATTTGACACGTGTGTCGTTATCAGAACTCATAAGATTCACCAATAACAGCTCGAACTGGGCTTGATCGTCCGCCATTTTTAGCGATGACATGCATGAAAGGACCTTCACCTACGTTTCCCGCGTGAACTTCCAACTTTTTAGAGTTATCTGCCCAGATGTGATTTTATCGTCTTTTTAATTTTTATTCATTAGAATAAAATGTGAAAAAAAACGTTGATAAACAATCCCATATATTCATAAGATTAAATATAACAGCAGCTGTCCATCATAAATGAATTTGATATTGCTTCAGTTGGCTTAAAAAAAATCTGGTGCCCCATGCCCATGCATGAAATATAGTTTTTAACGTACGAAACGTCCTGACTCCTACGGCTACTTTCTAGTTCTACACCAACTCTATCAGTTATGAAAAGGGACATCTAGATGCACAGATGCTGTGTTCTGTGATTGAAATTTAGCCGAAACAACCGTCTCTTCATCAAATTCAAACTTTCAAGGGTCCTTGCATCCTTTTTAACCCATCCGAGTGGCTAGGTGGTTAAGCCGCTGGCTCGCTAGCCTGGTGGTCGGGTGTTCGATCCCAGCATTGGCCAAGAAAGTTCATCTAGATTTTCCGACACGGTTTAACCCTTTGTCAGTGGTGCAGAACAGAGGGCCTGACAAGGACAGCTGTCTAGTCCTTCGGATGAGACGAAAAAACGAGGTCCCGTGTATACATTGGAATGCACGGAAAAGATCCCTTGGCAGTTGGAATTCGATATAAGAGTAGGCGATAGTGCTGCTGCCCGGGCAAAATTTCCCTCATAGCACACTGTATGGCGTATGCTCGGCTTCATTAGCCCCGTATAGGAGCAGAACAGTAGGAAGTTATCCCATCCGAACAACAAGACACCTTTTCCTTGCCAGGCCTTCCATTCTGAGGAGAAAACAAGTTGGAAATCCTGAGAAAACTTCTTGCCAAACACCAGGAGGATCGAAACCCAGGGCCAAGGTGGTTTCCCTGTCTTGAGAATTAAGTTAATTAAGGGAAGATTCTCTCCGAGAAATTTAATTGGGCCTACGTCTGTGTGGAAAATGATGGCACTGATTCGTAGCATCTGAGCACATTGTATCTTTGATGCTTGAATACCAAGTAATGATGATCAGAATTAATTCTGATAGGGTTGAAAACTACACTAAAACCTTGTGATATATTTTCCATTTAGTAGGGGCATTGACCGAAAAATGTCTGGGCCACGGTGGCTCAGTGAGTAAGACATTAGTTTGCTAACCTGGAGACACTGTGTTCGGTGCATGGGTTGTCAGAGAAAGTTCTTCGGATGGGACAAAAACTGATGTCCTGTATAAACATTGGCATGGTATAGGCTACACGTACAAGAACCCTTGGCAGTTGGAATGGTGTATGTCTGTCTTCGTTAGCCTAGCCAGAGCAGAACAGTAGGACGTTAAACCTAAATACGGTCTATAGTGGGTGCATAAACACATCTAACCTCATAGTCATAACGCAAAGTGTGACATTGTGTTCCCTTTACTTAGCCCCTATATTAGTGACGGGTGCTAGTCATTTTCTTTTAGTTAAAATTTAACTATAAAAGTGCACCTGTATGGCTGTAACAGAATGCCAAAGTTAATTTTTCACCCCACCTTCCATTAGACCCCGACAAGGTGTTTGCCAACCCTAGAGCCCAGACTACCCTGAATATTCACTAGGAGAAATTACGACAACACCAAAGGTTACAAATTCTTCAAGCCTGATTTTATTTCACCATATATATATATTTATATAGCTTAATTACACAGTGTTTAATAAAATTAATATAACAATGACTGAAAAACGTACAAAAAGCGAAAACTTTATTTCAACATACAATATCATTCGTCATTTAACAATATACAATAATAAATTAGCAATGGGTGATTTTATTGGGATCCGGGCATGCCACAGGATCATAGTAAACAATACCCATAGGGATAATGTCATAGTACACAATACACTCGGGCATATTGTCACAGTACACAATACACTCGGGCATATTGTCACAGTATACAATACACTCGGGCATATTGTCACAGTACACAATACACTCGGGCATATTGTCATCATACACAATACACACGGGCATATTGTCACAGTACACAATACACTTGGGCATATTGTCAAAGTGCACAATACACTCGGGCATATTGTCACAGTACACAATACACTCGGGCATATTGTTACAGTACACAATACACACAGGCAACATTTCATGATACACAATACCCACAGGGAAAATGGCACAGTACACAATACTCACGGACAAATGACAAAGTTATCATTGGGATATTGTTACGGTTCGTGTAAAAGAATGCTTCCCTGTGCCATTTTGTCCGTCAGGATTATTGCTATCATAGAGCTAATGTGACTAAGTAGCGTGGCGAACCATCACGGTATAAAAGAATCGCATAATTATGTTACAATCTATCTATATAAATAAAATGAAAGATGTATGCATGTTCGCCAATCATGCTTCGTCGACGCACCCCCCCCCCCCCACATATGTGGTATCAAATTAACCAGCATGACCCCGTGAATGTTTTACGCCATCAAATTCGGGTCCCGGGTGAAATGGACCTGGGCCCCGGTTGAATAACGCTTCGTCGCAGCTCCTTGAAGGCGTAATTGGGCACAGGCAAATTTGGGCCTGACCCCCAAGCAAATTTAGACTGTATTTTTTTCTACCTTACCAGTCTTCTAGGCCATTATCAAACTGACCATATTAGAACAATGTTCACTTGTAATTCTCTTAACAGAATAAAATGAAATGGGGTTTAACATCCTACATTTCGGCACCGACCACATTAATGCGAAATCTGAAAATTAAATAGGCCTACACGCCAAAACTGTGGGGTGGGGGTTGGCTGAATGGTTAACGCGTGTGCATGTTGGATAATAAGGTCTGTCATTGGGTCCTCCGTTTTCCCCCCACTGCTAAAGACCCCCCACACACAAGCGAAATATTGAAATAAAATTGAACCATATGTTAGTCCCGAAATGACCTAGTTTGTGTCGAGTGCTCGTTAAACCCCATTTCTCTCTCGCCTAAAACACAATAACAGACATTGGTATAAAAAGCGGGAATGGTTCGTATGATGTGTCTTAAATAAATTGTGTATCCTACTCTAGCGTCTAAATTGCAGACAAGCAACCCTATGGCTGTGCTTCCATTTGATCGAACGGAAAACAAAAATACCACTTATTTTCCCCTACATTTTTGTTCTTTAAATTTCAAGGCCCCATCTGGCCCCAGTATTATTCAGTTATGAAATTTGTATGTAATTTACTTTAAATAAAACCAATTTATGAAAATATTATCCAAGTTTCAGTTTACAAATATTGGAAATGTTTCTGGTATATAAAAATGAAATGATACACAACCGTAGAAAGGTATGAGACAGGTTTCTAGAAAGTGACGCGGTTTCACAAGAGAACAAATTTATTGCAATCTTTGATTTGTTTTCGCATATTTAGCGGATTGAATGTGTGCATCATTTTTCAACCAATCAATATTTCAGTTTAATAAACAGTTAATACTATAAGAAAGTCACGAATGTATAAATGTTATATTCCACAGAAAAAAAAGTTGTGAACACCTTTAAATAAGACACTCGAACAGCAAGTAGTATCTCGCTAAAGAATATATTTTGTTGGACAAAAATTAGAGCCCGTTTTGTACGTCAAACACAAATATGTTTCTACTTAGAATTTATTCCATCGATTTGGAAAATACGCATCAGCAATCTTGTCTAGTAATTAAAAGCAACACCAAGCTGGCTTCCCAAAATGGTACTGAAAATAATATCAGGGATCTAGAAAATAGCCAGCCTTCTGCAAAAGCAGACATAAAACATTTCATAATCTTTAAGTGCATTTAGCGATTGGGAAAACCATTAACATAACACAAGTTTTATGGGAAATACATTAACATAACACAAGTTTTATGGGAAACACTATGGGGATATAGCCGTTAAACATACATTATGCAAGAGGTAAATCTGCCTATTGCAGTTCTTTCTTTAGGCCTGAGACTATTAATTAGACATTTATTAACATGGAAAGACCTAAATCAACAGTTAGAACAGTTAATGATTGAATGTAAATCAGTATATATATATATTCATATTACATTATTATATATGTTGCGACCCATTTGTGTCCATTTCTAGGTGCCAAAGAATACAGATTTAGCTCTTTTAAGTGTATTTGTCAGATTTGTTTCCCATAATATTTGTGTTATGTTAATAAAACAGTTCATTTTTTTTAAATTCTGACAAGACTAATTATGTGTGTGCTTGAATTAAGGGGAATGGTATCTGCCACAACGCAATGACACTTTGGTTTCTTCAGTGGCGTAGCTAGGATTGGTGTCGCAGATCCACAACTAAACAGTGTTTTCGTTGACAAATAAAATTCTGTCAGCCGTATTGTATCCTTCAGTGCCCTGATACAGAATAACAAAACATTTTTTGGTAGTACAATATTCTACCAAAAGTGCCACGCCCACCCTCACCGCGTCCTAGCTACGCTACTGGTCTCTATTTATTGGAAATAAAATAATCTCCCAATCTTTGATTTGTTGTATTAAGGAATGAGAAACATTTGGTAGAAATGATCTGTGATCACAGTGTAAAACAACAACCAGTTATCCAGCCTTTTAAGCACATATTATAATTGTCTATTATTTCTTCTCACAGCTGGATAATGGTGACTATAAGTTCTTCTGGTTGCCATGTCAACAGGAACAGGATGCATCAGGATCACCGTGATCTATAGATGGTTCTCTAGGTCGAAGTTCAATGTCTACGAGAAGTTAAGGATCAATGATGTCAGACACATAAAGGAAGGAAATTAACAGTGTTGATTTCTGCGTCAATCATTCTCCACCTGATGTGGAATAAGTTCAATGGACAGATTTTAAAGACTTAGACTTGAGCTAACAATTAGAAGGGCTTTTGTCGAAGGCCGAATGGTTAGTGCAACAGGATACAGCTCAAGTCCAAGGGGAAAGATTAGCTACGAGAATTGGTTAAAAATGCTGGTCTGTCCCATCTCACTCACCCAAAATAGTGAATTTTCAGCTCATGTATCTCCTGGTGAATTGTTTCTGTGTGTTTTCAGCATCATTTATGCAAATCTAAGTAATATTTCCTTAACCAATTTTGGCTTGGCATTTGGAGAGAGAGGGAGTGGGGGAGAGAGGAGGTTTAACTACCACTCAACGCAAACTAGGTCATTTCCGGACTAACCTATGGTACAATTCTATTTTAATAATTTGCTTGCACGTAGGGGTCTTTAGCAGTGGGAGGAAACCAGAGAAAATTTACGAGGTTGGACAGACGACCCTACAAACCCTCAATGAAAGACCTTACAATCTAATGCACACGGGATACCCAACCCCCACGCTGTACCAGACACACCTGTTAAACATGCATTATGTAAGAGCTAAATCTGCCTATTGCAGGTCCTTCTTTAGGGCTGAAATGTTATCTAAATTATTAACTAACTTATCTAGACCATAATCAACTCTTGATGTCATCGCTAGCCTATGATTTTACTGGATTACAATCAGATATGCTGTTCAACACCCATTGATGATTAAATCAAAAATTAGATAGTCAAGACTATGTTTTTTTTATCGTATCAACTTCAGTAATGATGATCGAGGCTAGGCCTAAAATTCAATCGCTAAATTCTCGGTTTAGAGGGGATCAATTTGACTGAAATTCCCTTTACATTATCTAGTTTTTAACAATTATAGTGAAAACTGCCAGCTCTTTATCTAATCTCCCATAATGTATCTTTACGCCTCTTTCCTCAACTCTACCTTCAACCTATATGTGGAGCATGAAGAAGCAGAATAGACAAAAAGTACAATGAATAAAAAAATTACAGAAAATGCAAACAATCCAAGCTAAAAATAAAATCATGCTAAAGAAAAAAATAAATAAAACAAATAAACATTTAATATATTTATTATATTTTTTATACAAAAACAGATCATAACGATAATGATATATCTACATGTGTTTGTATACCATAACAATATATATCTGTTTAAAGACCAACACACACTTTACAACAGTCATCAAATCTTGTATTAATGAAGTATTAGATTAATGTTCCGATGCATCATTTCAGCGCTATAGGAGAGACAGAAATGGGGTTTAACGTCCACTTAACACAAACTAGGTCATTTCGGTTCAATTTTATTTCAATCGATCGCTTGCGAGTAGGGGTCTTTAACAATGGGAGGAAACCGGAGGACCCGGAGAAAACCCACGAGGTTGGACTTGTGACCATGCTCATTGTGATGTACAATCGGAAATCAAAACCACGCCACTTGACTCAATGACATACACACGTTAACCATTCGGCCATCCAACTCCCCAAATGGTTCAATTCCATTCAGTATAAACACAGATATGTGGAATTGAAATTTCAATTGTGTAATAATGGTGCATCATTATTTGTAATAAAGTATCAGATTAACACCATTACTATCTTTCAGAGTTTGTTTCTGATCCATGTTGAAATATTATATTAAATTAATCAGATTATCTCACCAAGTATTTTCTCAGAAGTTTTGACACAATCTATGGGGTTTATGGACATTTGGCCGAAACAAAATATTGCCAACCCAACAAACATTTGGAAGTGTGCGATGGTCTTTTTTTACAGAGACATATTCTGGTTTAAGTTCTAGAAATGAAGAAAGAACTATTGTTTTAAATAACAATGGTGTAAACAACCATTTTTACAAATCTTATAGAATTGGTTAAACACATTCCAAATATAACTTTAACAGACATCTTTGATACAGTTGATCTGTAACAATAATCTTAAGATTCTGGAAATAAAGCAATCAAAGGAAATCCAAAGAAGATGATATGCTACTGACAAATTAAATGAAACTGGGTTTAACGTCCTACTATTCTGCACAGACTGGGATAATGAAGAAGGTTGCTATATATGAGGCTGTACAATTGACTATTCATTAAAAGAACAGATTGCCACTAGTTCAAAAATGGGAAGAACCCCCACTTTTATTAGCACTCTCTACATCAGTTGATAACAGTAATTGATTTTCTCTTTTAACATCACAGGAATTTTTATATAGTTGTTAAAGATCTACCATGGGCAAAAGTGTTTGTGTTAAAACTATATTTGGATTCTGTTTAACCATTTCTATCATATATGTAAAACTGGTGGACAACAACATTGTCCTTTAATAACCCAATGGGAAATCTGATGTTTAAACATATTAGATAGATACTAATTGAATCCTTTAATATGTCATGAAACTGATTATAATATATAAGAATATATCTCTTTTAATACCTCTAGGTATTCTACATATAACATATTTCCCCCACAAAGTATTCTTCTATAACTTATATATAGTATTCACCTAATATATATATTATCAACATATTTTATAATTAAATCTTGTATATGTATTAATAATGATTTGTAAATGTGAATGTTTCTTTTTTATTTTAGAGATCAGTTAAAACATTACAGTTAATCAGTTAATCTTTGAAAGAGGCGTATCAGTGTTAAAGTTTTTGAATGAGAAATAACGAAATCTAACATACATTTTACAAGTTGTGTTAATTCATCTGCGCGATAAAAAAATAAAGAATGTCAAAAGATCACGAATCAAGGTCATAAATTTGTCATTGGACGAAATCAAAAATAAATAAAGAACTGAATACATATATAAAATGGTGTTGTGAACATAAATAACTGGACAATTTATCTACAACACAAACTTCTGTTAATACGAACACACATATATGAATAAAATATAAAACACACGCATGCTGTAAGACGTTAGCAAAATATACATACATGTATATATATATATATGTAGGATCATCTTCGCAGTTGTCAAGTATAGGTGTATAACAAGAACCATGAATGCAGCCATCTTGTAATTGTGACATCATAAAATAAATTGAAGACCGCAAATCAATGTGCAATCGTGCAAAGAACAAGTTTGCCAAGTTCCATGTAAATCGTAGGCTTTGTTGTTTTTGGATGAGCAAGACTATTTCAAACAGTTCCTGGTTGAAAAAGTATAACATCGTACATATATTCAAGCGGCCGTTATTTAAGAAATGAATTTTTTTAGTCGACCTAAACAATAGCCACCATCATTTAAATGACTGCATTTCTGGTAAATAGAGCACTCCGTAAAGAACCGAAACGAAATATTGATCTGTATTTTAATCAGATTGAAGACAGATGCGACAGACATAAGTTTAGATGTTCGGATAGGGTTGCATATATATCCGCAAGATAATTTTTTGAAACAGGTGAACAGAGCTGAAGAGAAAAACAGATTATTATCAAATGGTTGTAATAGAGGTAATCCAGAATGACTTAAAACGGGTTTTTCCAAAAGGAGAGTCACATGACAGGGTACAAACACCAACATTTGCCATTATTATTATTATACTTAACTTGAAACTTGAAAGTGTTCGTAGCACAATAACAATGGCAATGTTTGCACCTCTTTAAGTGACTTTGAGATTGGAAAAACCCATTTTGATGTATTTCTGGGGTAGGCCTATTGGGTAGAAATAAACAGAGAATATTTCAAAGGATTTTTATCACATTTTAATCAAGCATGTTGTGTTTTGAAAATGGCTAAAAACAATTTGCACAATTGACCATGAAACTGAAACAAATTCTTCTCTAGAATCGTGCAAAAATTAAATGAATCGCACGTCTCCGAAAATTTGAAAATTACGAATAAAATCATCGTATGAGGTTAAGAAAAGTATTTTTAGTAACACGATCAATAATTTTCAAACATGTTTTCGTCCCTGGAGAATTTGTTGGTTATTTTTTTAAGTGGGAAAAGCTACAAATGTGTACAATAAACATTAATAGAATCGGATGCTTTTTAAGCAGATTAATGTTTTAAAACAATAAATGATATTTATTTCCCCTTAATTGTATATACAACTTAAGTATAAATTAAAAACCATGAAATACATGTTATAAGGCTCACTATTATATTTATATACATCTTTATGGCATGCAGCATGTATCGTAATGCTAATTGTACTTTTTGGTTTGGGTATTTTTTTGCTTAGGTTATTTTAATCGTTTTTAAACACAATCTTTCAAGCTGAATATTTAAGCCATGCCTTTCAGTTTTATTAATAGACATTCATACTAACAGCAAAATCAAAAATAATACTTTTTTTGTTCATAAACTTTCCATATTCTTGGCGTTTAGATTCATTCGCCGAGAACTCGATTTAAAGATATATTTGGTGAATAGTGAAACTTATGGATTACTTAACATCGTTGCTATATTCATCATTTATTGTATATATTAGTATAAAATAAACAAATAATCTCTATAACACTCAACTCTTTCTAACTCATTTCCTCTATTGGTGAGCAGGGCCAGTCCTTTCTTTGCTACTTTCTTTTTTACGCTACTTTCATTTTCATACAGCATATGATTATGCTACTTTCAATTTTCATATAGCATATGAGTAAGATGTGTCACTTAACTGCCTATTGTTAATGTGACATAATTGTATTCATTCATTCATTCATAACCTTGCATGTGTTAAAAGTGACATAATTGTAATCTTGTTTTTTTGTTTTATTCATTCATTGCAAATGACATACCATTTGATAGATCACACATTGCTAATCAAATATCACACTGAAAAATAAATAAAGGAATTATCGGGAATAGATCCATTTAACACACTTTAAGAGAGAGGGAAAGAGTGAGACCAAGTGTTTTTTTTAGAATGATCATTCATCCTATAACACAACATAGATCTATGAATGACAGAACTGTGTTGTGTTATACTATGCCCAATCTCTAAATGGCATGCAAATATTATATATCATTCCTCCTATTATGTTACATATATATATATCATTCCTCCCCTTATGTTACATATAATTTGTTCAAAGCTGTTTAACAATCAACAAGTTAATATATTTTAAAATACAAAACAAACAATTATTATATCTATTGTGGCACAGTTACTAAAAGCATATTCTAGAAATCAAAATTAATTTAGGAAATTACTGACCATGACATAGATCATGAATTGCCTTTTTTTGTTGGCATATGTTACATCGGTTTCTCATCAAGCATTAATTTGTTTCTAACGAGCTACCATTAAGAACAAAATTCCTTCTCGGTTTCAACAACTAATTTTATCCCTAAATATGACCCCCATTAATTGATTTTTTAAAACCAGTATCCACAAATCCTCTATTTGTCCCCCAAATGATTAACTAATTAAACCGAACAAATGCCACATATATTTTGATTTCACAGTATCATACAAATTCCTAGTGCATAGCACCTAACAAAGTCTGCATATTAAGTCTAATTTGCATATTTACATTAATTTACATATGTAGTGTGGTAAGCAAAAAACCTCACAAAAAATTATTTGTATACAAAATATGGCAGACTTCATGTAAAAAAGGAACTACTATACACCATGTTTTAATGTACAATAATACAACCAATAGCAGCATTTGATATAAAAACAACAGTGACCAATGAGAACTAGTGTTACATCTAACATGCACAGCCTCCTTCCTGTGCCTGAGGTTCTGCTGGGGTTTCTTTCAATTTCACTTCCGTCACTGAGGCACATGTTAAGGAAAACAAAATGGTGGAAAGTACGAAAATGGTAAATAAAATGAAAATGGTGCATATGATGACATACAATGTATTACAGTAAAGATGCATGTATACTTCAAAATCTTATTCTTAAAACTCAAATATAATGTACTGGCTTTAAAATAGGCAAAACCTATCTTACACAAAACATGTTTGACTAGTCTGGAAAAATCCATAGCGCTTCGTTAAGTTGAAGTCATTAACAACTGATTCTGATGACAAGTCAACTGTCCGCAAGAAAAAAAGACAATGCGTACAGGGCTTAGATTCTGTCCGGTGCTACCAACACATGGAAAAAATGGTGTACTTTTACTTCAATATTTTATTTGCAATTTTAAATCTCCTTGGTAGCCAATATGGAACTGGGATGTGATTTAATGTGAATTTCAAGACAAGGCCTCAATATTTGTCAGCTGTAACCCATGACAACCACGATTTAAAATTCATGATATTTTAGTCGCGAGACCAGTTTCCTAATCTCCACTTACCATACATGAATATAGTCTCATCTTGGAAGCTCGAGGTGACAGGGTCAGATTTGATATTAAAGGAAGATCACTACATTTTTTTTTTAAAATTGAAATTAACCTAAGTTTCTTTGAAAGCTTTCGAGAATAAGATCTGTTGTTTTTTTAACTAAAATTAACTGAAATGTTTTTTAAAAGTTTTTGAGAATGAAACGTGGAAAGTTTTGCCAAAGAATCTTTTACATCATAAAATAATGGGACTGAATGGAAAAAAAAGAAGAAAACATTGATTTAAAACACAAGTAGAGGAAGATGTCCAAATTCAACAACACTCAACATTCCAACATTAAACTAAAGCATAATCATGCAGAAATAAGCAAGCATTTTGAAAAGTAGTACAGGGAAGTTGGCTCGGATTTAACTTAGGTTCATGGAGTCCCATCCCAAATAAACACAAATTAATTTTTAGCAGTGTTTAAATATGTCTCTCTTTTTTTTGTTATATGTTAACATGAATATTCGTGTTCTTAATTAGACGACTGCCGATGTTTGACATTTGAAAAAGCTGACTGATAAAACAATGAACCGGCCCATCATTGTATCAGAAATCAACCTAACTTCGGCTCAAGTAAAAAGAGTCGGTTTTCACCTGCTGATTAAAAAGTCAATCAACTTTTCAACTGATCCTTAACAATTCAGTACATTGTGTGCTAATGTCTTATTTCTGAAATCCACCTTAACAAAATGCTAATGTTTTTTTGTTTTTTTTTAAATTTTGAAAAGGTTCAAACTTGTCAATGATTGGGGGAAGGGGGGGGGGGGTATATAAGAGGTACAGTCAGTCCCTACTGACAGACATATAGGACACGCAGTAACTAATCATTTGGCTGAAAATCTCACCTGTCCATTTGCGGTCTGTTTCCATAGCAACAAATTCCAGCACATTGAATGAACACATTTAAAATAAAATCAGAAATATGAAGACAGATATCTTATTCTCGAAAGCTTCCACAAACCTTAAATTGCTTGGAATGGGTTATTCAAATTCGAAAATTCATTTATTTACCATTTCAACATAATAAAGATTTCTTGAGTGTTGGTGTTTGAAATGATGATTGCATTGGAGATGAAATTGTTTTTGTGATCTAAACTTTCCTATTTAAGATTAGCCTAGGCAGACCAATCAGGATTCAGCTAAAACTTGTGAGCTTAGGCCCACTTTGTAATTCTCCAATGAAATGAAAGGTAACAATTAGATTTCCACTTTGCCTTGAATATAACGGAATACACCTGTTACATTGAGTCCCCTACGAATGATACATCCCAAGCTTCACAGTAATGTTGACGAGAGACACATTTACACCTGACTTTTACTTGTAATTTAAACACCTGTCACAGACGATATCAGTTACAAATCCTCCGATGCCTTATCATTTTGTCAGTCACAGATTTTAATAGATGAACGACACAACTAAAATTGTTATTTTTAGGCCTGCTATAAAAATATATATTAAAAGAAGTCATGTTTGTGTCACGTGACGCGCTACCTAGCAACAGGTGCGAAGCCGGAGGAGAATTCATTGCATTAATCGCTGTCCATTTATCATTATCCACTGCAAACGTCCTTTTCCGAGGTTTTTATCTCAGAAACTGTTGTACGTTTAAGCTCCACATCAAGTCGGGTTGCCAGTTAGGGAAACCCTTACATTTTTGACTTGTATGCACTTCATGGGTGTCTTTCAGGGAATCCAGTATTTTTCTAGTAAGATTGGATATTTCTACTTTCCATATATACCAAAATTGCCATAATTTTATCAGAAATACATGGGTGAGTAGTAAATTGGACAGGTGATAAGATTGCTGATTAACTGATTTTTTTTGTAAAAGGATACTTTCTCCTTTTTTAGGTTCCGTTTGTTCCATACCAGGTAACGCTGCAGCTACTCGTCGGAATAACTAAAATAATAATATGGGTCAAATTATAATTTTACAATTAGAATAAATATGATTGTACAGGAGCCAGGAACCATCACCTATGGACCATTATGCAATTGCAGCCATCTTGGAATTGTGATGCCATTGTCATATACTGAGGTTGTCTGCCAACTATTGTCTGAATTGTGATGGCCCAATAGTATTAAAATATAGATCTTTATTTCTTTTTGTTTGCAGTTTGGATGTCTCCACTGTTAAGACCACAATATTACTGTTAATTATAACCATTTTATTCCTTCTGACATTACATCACTCACTTCCTGTCTACCGCACATGCTCACCCGAATAACTCACATTACATCATAGACATAATTGACATGAATGATTCACATTATATAAACACAGATAAATATTAACATCCACTACATTAGAATCTGGACCGGAGTTCACAAACCATTCTCAGACTTCAGTTAAGAATTTACTAAAAAAATCTTTGCCTTATTTTAACTAAAATATAACCCTTTACAAAACTTTTGTTTTAATGTAACATATACAACAATAAGAAACTATGTGCAAAGTTTTGTGTTTCTGGATCAAAGATATTTCTCATAAACAGTGATTGAAAGTTGAATTAATTCTTAAGTCTGAGAATGCTTTGTGAATGGTTGCAGAGGGAGGTCGTGTCAGGTATCATACAGCATTGATATTCCAAGCGACTATTTAGAGATATATACCACTTTTGCTTTGTTTTGTTTTGATTTGCTAATCCCTCACATCACCCAGAACAACTGTTCCAGATCCCAGTGTACTGATCTGTGTTATAATCAGATAGGATATGTCCCAGTTGTTCAATCTTAGTGCTATGCAATTACATTCTGCACACAGAGATCCATCTACTTCATACTTCAAGAATAAATCTCTGTCCGGAATGGCCACAATAACCAAAAATTAATATATGTGGTTCTACTACGTTTCACACAAAGACTAAACAAATCTATTCAATTCCATTAAATGGAATCAGAATAAATTCTTATCAAAATTCTCGAAGTATACTTAATGTTTTTGACTAAAATTGTCGATTTAAGACTTAAAATGTCAGTCAACTAGCTTAGTGTCTGTTGTGGAGCTAACTGTAGATAGACAGCCTAAGTTTAGTATGATGCAATTATAGATTCTTACACAGTATCCGCCTCTGGCCCACTTTTTTCTTTCACTGACACTCATTATCTTATGCATGTTTTCTTCTAATATGGATCTATTAGGTATACAGATTGGTAACCATGGCAACAGTTGGCCACACTATCTCTATACAGACAGTTGATGGCCTAGAAGAAATGAGAGCTGTTATTACCTGTTTGACATTGTATCCTGCTTTTGCGCTGGTTTCTATAAACATAACATTTAATTCTTTAGCTTTTCTTTCTCCTTCTTCTGTTGTTACTTGTCTATAATAAAACACATATAATAATAGTCTCTGGTCATCAATCATTCGAGGGATTGTTAATCCCTAGCGAAACTACAATATTATAAAAGTTTGATCTTTAAAAGGAATATCAGTACAACAGTGGTTCAATTTCGTATTTTATCAAGAACTGGAAATATGTCAACATTCAAAATCCACTGCAGAAGATATTAGTCAACACAATGAAATGAGATATGCCATAGAGTGTGCTATGGGAGAAATTTGGCCCGTACAGCGACACTATGGATTACTTTTATTTCGTTTTACAAACTGAAATGGGGTTTAACGTCCTACTGTTCTGATCCGACTGGGCTAATGAAGACGGGGATACAACATAAAGCTGTGCTATGAGGGACATTTTGCCTGAACAGCGGCACTAAGGCCTACGCGGTCATCGAGTTCCAAATGCCAATGTGTACACAGGACTTTATTTTTTGTCCCATCCGAACGACTAGACAGCTGTTCTTGTCAGGCCCTGCACCACTGACAAGTGCAAACCATTGATCTTTTTAAAATCTCACCTTTTATCTGAAAGGTCTGTCTTATTACCCACTAACATAATTATAACATCACTACCACGTTCAGTTCGTACATCATCAATCCATTTAGATGTCTGATGAAAAGAATTGGCATCTGAAAATAAAACAGAATTTATTTCATTTTTTTTATGTAATTGCACTATTAATTTCAGTTTGACTGCACAATAAAATCCAACAAACTATAAGGGGATACAGAGCGGACAATAGAATTTGTCAGATCTCGACAATAAAAACCAACAAACTTGACAATAAAAAAGAAGTTACGAGCTAAATCATCAGTCAACGGTCAAATAATCTGTAGAATTGAAATAAAGTAACTCAATTTAACTTAAACATTCTCTATTATCAAGTACTGGACAATCATACAAATTAACATGCTCTATTATCAAGTACCCATCAAGTATTGGACAAGCATTAACTAGTCACTGTATGAAATAAACTAGTACTTAGTTTAGTGTACAGTAACAATGAAGATTAGATATCTTGTATACATGTAAGAGGAGAATTAGTAATTATGTACAGTAACACAGGATGAGATAAATATAGAACATTGAAATGTGATGTTTGTGATGTTATGCTCAAGCTTATTATTGAAATAAAATTGAACCATATGTTAGTCCTGAAATGACCTAGTTTATGTCGAATGGACGTTTAACTCCCCACATCCAACCTATGACACATACTCTCTCTGCTAGATATATTAATAGTCTTGTGATCGTCTATTGTTGTCTCTGGTTGTATTTGTTTCTTATTCTCTTCTTAGGACTCAAGATCTGAAGATGTGTATATTTTTATCTCTGCTGTTAAGACGGTTATCATCTCATTAGTTAAGACGGTTGTATTACCAGGAATAACAATGCACCATTCGTATTTACATTTCATATATCAAGCACTGGTATACAAGCATAGATTAAAATAAAGTCATTTTCTCAATCCCATTCCACCCAGACTCGCTGCTGATAGAAATTGCTACATCTTCTCCCTCTGGAATCTAGCGGCTGTCTGTCGAATGCCCAGAGATATGATAGTTTTTTAGCTTTGGGGTTTGGCTGCCAATTATCTCATTGGACAATTATTACATAATTAATTATAATGATTGGTCATTAAGCCTAATGTCGTCAAAAAACACCCTTATATGGATAGTGGAAACTTACCACCAGAAGTGTCACACATGTTATTTTGTTATTAACCCAGAATGAAAAGTTTACCAAATTATAACTCTTTTTATGTATCAACTTATCAATCATTCATCTGAGTACATGAGATCTGATTTCTCTACAATACATATACGTCAACCCAATAATTATTTAAAGATATAATATAATGCTATTATTAATTTAAAGAGCAAAAATTCTATCAATCTTATTACAAGAATACTCTTCGAAATGTCGCTCAGATAAATTAGTAGCTGTTTTTCCATAAGTCTGTGTTATAGTTTATAGTTACTTAATGTCTCTCAAAGATTATTCATTCTTATTAAGTGATTGTTGATTGATGAAGATGAAAACTTACTAGTGATATCATAAACTACGACTGCTACAGAGGAATCACGAATATAACTTGGAATCAAACTACGAAATCTCTCCTGACCGGCTGTATCCCATAATTGTAATCTAATCTTAGAAAAAAAATAAAATACAAGGTTTATTTACATGTAACCATGAGTTGAAAAACTTTAAAGCTGCTATTCATCATCTAAGGAATTCCTAATCCCTTGCTAAAAGCAATCTGATTAAAACACAGATCCTATTTCGTTTTTTAGAGTCCAAAATTACATTTTACTTGTCTTTACTACACTAGGATCTGGAAGAGTTGTTATATAACCCACGTTCTGGATAATGTGAGGGATCAGCCAATGAAATGGTCTGTTGCGGCGAGTTCTTGGCAATTGGTTAATCAAAGGTCCGATGTCATAGAATCAAAAGCCATTCATATGACCCCTGACACGACCTGGTCACATTTTTATGCAGTGCGGGCCATCGAAAGTATAAAAAAACAAAACAAAATATAGATCTGTATTTTTATCAGATTGTTCTAAAAGAATCTCAGTTCAAAAAGAGTTCAATTCTGCTCATTATTTTGGAAGATCTGATGAATTGAAAACATTTGGTACCCTCTACAGACGACACAAACAAGTCTATGACACCTACATGTATAAAATCCTTTGATGGACCTCCTTTTAATCTGACAGACTATCTACCGTCGATATTTTTATTGTTTTCTTAATTAAATGTAAAATAATCAATGAGTAGATGCCCTGGAAAAATTTGATAATGCCTGAAAACAATCTGATTAAAATACTGATCTATATTTCGTTTCATTTTTTTTTTAGTTGTAACAGCGTAACAGACTGTTTCATTGGCTAATGCCTCACACTGTTCAGAACATGTCAATGATAACAAAGTAAAATGAAATTCTGAACTATAAAAATGAAGCGAAATAGAATCTGTGTTTTAATTAGATTGGCCCGAAAAAAGTATTTTCACATACTGGTTAACTTTCCACAGGATCAGGATTTACCCAAGGAAGAATGATATATTTGCTTATTTATAAAATGTCTTTAACTTACTGTTCTATCTTCTAAGTACATTGTCTTTGATAAAAAATCTATTCCTATTGTGGCCTGAAAATTGATAAATATAACATTACATGTCAGTTAAAACACAGACTGGGACTTGTTAGGACCCTGAATATGCTCACCAACAGCAGAGTTAGTTGTAGTACTATCATTGTTAAAGATACATTATGGGAGATAAGATAAAGAGATGGCAGTTCTCGCTATAATAGTTAAAAACTAGATAGTGTAATGGTAATTTTCTGAAAATTTCAGTCAAATTGATCCACTATGAGCCGAGAAAGAAGCGGGTGAAATTTTTGCATAGTCTCGGTCATCATTACTAAAATCATTAATATAAACAGCATAGTCTCGATTATTCACTTTTTCTGATTTAATTATCAATAGCCGTTAGCGGCATATAGGAATCTAATCCAGCCAACATCGAAGGCTAGCCTTGACATCAAGAGTTTATTATGGTCTGGATAAGTTAATTAATGTCTAATTGATAATTTAGATAACATTTCAGGCCTAAAGAAAGACTTGTAATAAGCAGATTTTGCTCTTGCATAATGCATGTTTAACTATTTAAAAATAAAAACATGCACGATCAACTATCATTCGGTACACCTCAGATAACTCAGGTAGCTTACATCTAACCTTGGCTGTATGACAATTTCGGCCAGTGGAACTACTTTCAAGTTCCCGGATTAAAGATGGTGACCCCATGAAGACACTTGTGAAGAGTAATATCTCTAGAAACTATATGTAATCAGTCATACAAAGCTTTCAATATCTTTCAAGTTTATCCAATTTTCTTTTAACAAAGGACAAATTTGCAATGAAGACTCTACACACTCTTCGAACGACACAATTTTGAAAACTTCTTTCTAAAAGCAGTAAATTTTGTAATAAGTAAACTGATAGCGGTATCACTAAAAGAACCCTTGACAGTTGGAATTTAAAATAAGAGTAGACCACAGTGCCACTGTCGGAGCAAAAATTCCCTCATAACCAGGGTCATGACTAGCACAGATCAACGAGGGGGATGGGGAGTGTTCTCATGGGTGCTGTAATTTTGACGGACAATGTATATCTATGGTCGACAATTATTTCACAAAGCCCACCCCCCCCAGTTACGGGTCTGCTCATAACTCACTGGCTGGTATATGGTCGTCTTCATTACCCCAGTCAGAGCAGGCAGTAAGAAGCTAAACACCATTTCCATTCATTCTATAAGTACATGTATCTATGAGAAATTGTTTCACTAGCAGGCCTGCCGAGAACCAGTATTGCAGCGCAATTTGCGATACATATTTTGTCCGTTGCTAATCAAAAATTAAAACCTAACGTTTTTGATTCACAGTAACTGCGAATCATTAATATGCCTGTCATTTTGGATATTGACACGAAGATTTATCCACATTTCTCAACACTTTCAACGTGTATAAAATATCAAATAAATTTTATAAGCAAAACTGAATTCTCCGTGTGACATTTTCTTCTCGAACTACCCAGACTCAATTCATTATACTATATAATACAGGGACATAACTCTATGAATTGAGACTAACACACGATAAAAAACAGACAAAATTGTTTTCTAACGAAGAAAAAAGAATTAAAATGAGTGGGACTTTGGAAGCAACTGCCAAGAATTGGCTTCAGACATAACCAAAAGTCTACATTCAGAAATGTTCACATCTACCTGTAGCAGAGTAAAATTCTAAAAAATCTAAAGAATGAAATCTAATCATTTGTTATAAATTAATCTTGTTATTTAGGTGTTTTATGTTGAAGCTGAAAAACTGCTAATCAATTTTTAAATTTGCTAATCAAATTTGGCAAAAATTACCGACAGCCCTGTTCACTAGTGTGAACAATGTATATAAATTAAAGTTCACTCACCTGATATGTGTTGTCAAAACTATCATACATAAATCTGGTAATAAGTGATGTTTTACCCACTGAAATAAACAAATAAACACATTATTTGGAGATCTTAAAAATACTTTCCCTGAGTACAAACTTTGTGATTTGATCATATATTTGGACTATAACACATTTTTATACTAATCGTTTAGTAATCTATCAAAAATTTGCTTCAAATCCCTCTCAAAACTTCGCTTTTGTGGGGAGATACCACAAGCCATAAATAAATTGTTGTTAGATGCAGTCTGTCAGTCCAATTCATTGTGAAAGGGTCCATTTTTCAGAATGTATCTTTCATTACTGTCCATTTATCATACATGTACATATTGAGGCCTAAGTAAATACCGAATTATTTTCAGTCAACTTCTTTTACCACCGTTGTTTAATTGCAGAAAATTTTGTATGTTGACAGCCCTCAATAATCCCCAAACCTCCTAACCATTTGTTCAAGCAATAACAACCGCTCCCTCAATAAAGCTAGCACACAATAAGCTGGCAGACAACAGTCGGGTTGACAGTTAGTGATACCCTGACATTTTTATCCAGTGCTTGCCCAATGGGTATTTTTCTAGTAAGATTGATGTACATGTGTACATACTTTCCATATATACCAATTCTGCTACCTTTTATTGGAAATAACCACCCAATAAATACTTTCAGGACAATGTTTCTTTAAAAAGCCAATCGTTCTATTTCACGTAAATTGAGTTGCATGTACATCTTATAGAACCATAGGTTTGTAAATCCGGATATAGATTTCCAGATTCTACCTCCATGTTGGCAGAGATAATTGCTAAAAATTTTGCAGTGTGGTTTGCCCTTGTCTGAAGTGCATGATGAAGAGCCTGGCAAGGAACAGCATTTAGTTGTTTGGATGGGATGAAAAACTGAGGTACATGTTGGTGGGTGATGTACATAAAAAAATGAAATTCAATGAAGAATAGGTGAGAGAGAGAGAGAGAAATGGGGTTCAACATCCACTCGACACAAACTAGGTCATTTCGGGACTAACATATGATTTAATTTTATTTCAATAATTCACTTGCGCGTAGGGGTCTTTAGCAGTGGGAGGAAACCGGAGGACCCGGAGAAAACCCACGAGGTTGGACAGGCGACCCTACTCCTTGCCACATACAACCGGGGATTCGAAACCACGCCAGTCGACTCAATGACAGACTTTAAGATACAGCGCGCGCACGCTAACCATTCAGCCATCCAACTCCCCTGAAGAATAGGTACATTTGTAGATATTCCTTATCATGCAGCATATGCTCTTAGGGATACTTTGCCCCGACAGTGGCGTTATGACCTATTTTCGCCTTATAATCATGGGGAATTTTCTGTGTTTTCATTGATTTAATTAATACATGTAGATGTGCGGCACAAAATTCTAAATGTTGGATAGTGTTTGATATTTTTTCAAGTAGATGTACAGTTCAAAGGGTTATTTCAGGGTCAGGCAATGAGCTGACCTGTTGCAGAAAAGTAGCATGATAAACATGTATGTGGCTATAATGTATCTCTAAAATTTCAAATGGGACAAAACACTGAGGTCATACATGCATGTAAATCAATGGCAGCAAAATGATCATCCCCTGACAGTTGGAAACTGAAGTAAAAGAAGGTTGCAAAATTGTCCTTATAGCCCATAAGGTTATGTATACCTGTTTTCTATGAAGAACAGTAATACTTTAACCTCTTTATACTAAACTTAACGTTGTCTGTCTACAATTAGCCCCATTTGAGAACAGACATAAAGATAGTTGTCCGACATATTAAGGCCATTTTAATCGAATACACTAAATATACTTTGAAAAATTTATTCTTCTTCCATGTAATGAATTAAAAAGGTCTATTTTGTCTTATTCTGTATTCAACTGACTAGAATTGCATAATTTATTAGTACAATATTGTTTCAATATGTCGGCCATGCAGGACAGAGATCTATTCTTAAAGTAGATAGTCCTCTCTGTGCAGAATGTAAACTGGTTTTTATTTCCATATAAATTATGATGTGGTTTGATTATCTAAATTATACACATGGGTATCACGACATCTAATGAAGAGCCATGCTGACCCGTACATTGAGTTGTAATTCACCCTACCGCTATTTATTGATCCAAACCGCCTATAACCTGATTGCAGTATTCAATTTAATGCCATGCAGTCAGCTTTCAATTTACGAGAGAAACAAACATGCATTATCCAACCTGATAATGTGTAGACATGCCTTCTACAAGTCAAGACAAGTCTAGGTGTACATATAGATATAAAATACTTGTAGAAAGTAAACAAATACATATACTCAAGTTGTTTTGTTCAAGCATGTCCCTGCATTTAAAATATATCACCCTTTCAGGCCTCAGATTAGGGGTAGGCTTATATTCAGAATTTTGTTCAATCTGGACTATGTACATTTTCAGTTATTTTATTTACAATAAACTTCGCAGAAGTCGGATCTAAGTGGACTGACCAATTTTATACGAGTTAAGCCGAAGACCGAAATTCAATCTTAGCTCGATTAGAAATAAACTGCAAGAGCCGGATAATAATTGATTCAAAGGCACATTTCAAGCTTTTGTTCGTATGTGCGAGTAGATAACTTCCATTTTGGTGCGAGTAGTTAGCTTTTGTTTTGTTGCCATCTTTGAAAAAATGTCCTAAATTTTCCCGGAAAGTGTTTCATACAGCAGACAGCGAGTTTCGAATTTTCTGGGAAAATGCTAATGCTATTATTGCATCGCGCCAAATAGGGTGATTTGAGTCAAAATGATAGGGGAAGGTACTTTGGGGCTCTGTGCATGGAATACCTAACCACATTTTAGACCATGGGAACGAAACTGAGAGTGAAATTCTGAACATACTGCCGATCCGACTTAGGCGAAGGAAAAAAGCCGGAATTAGATCAAATGGACCGAACATTTTGATCCGAGTTGAGCAAAGATCCGACTTACGAACAGGATCAAAGGGTCCAAACGATTTTAACCTAGTTATACAAATCCCACTTATGCAAGGTTTACTGTATGTTCCTATATTATGCCTGGATAAAAGCAAGATATCATTCAGTAGTTGGCAGAACAGTAGAACGTTAAACCCCATTTCATATCATTTAATTAAGTAGATATATGTAATTACTATCAATCATTTCCAATCAGCTAAAAAATTTAATTTGAAATAATAAGACGGGGTAAAAAGGTTACATATCGTCACATTTTGGCGTATACATGTATGTATGTATATGTGTACATTAACCCACTTTTATTTACACACTGTTGTATGAAATCTGGGATTTCCCCTTTATACCTACAGTACACTTATGCAAATAGTCCCAGAAAGATGTACAGAGAGAAAGACCCAGACAGTTGTACTGTTCAGAACAGGGGTGTCAACCATGTGGCTTGGAACAAATTTGAACAAACTGACGTTGATAATTCTTACAAACTAGCGATGGAAATCATACTGTTTCCCAGTTTCATTAAAACTCTGAATTCTGTACTGTATGTCATTGATACCTAAGTTGTATTTAATACAAGAGAACGTTGTATTGTATTGCATTATAATATGTAACGATTTTAGTCAAATAAATCAATATTTTTATATATACTATTCAAAAAAAGTAGGGGATATTTGATTTTGGGGGCATAATACTAAAATATGCAAATGACTACGAAAAAAGTCACTATAGAACCTAACAGAAGAAACATTTCCAGTTACATGTGACACCCAAACGCACCAATAGCTACCGCATGGAATGCAGGTGATGCTTGGGATCATCATGGAGGTCCAACCCAAGATTTGCACGACTCTGACTTTGAATGTTACAGTCATTGTTGCATTGAATTCCAGGGTGGAAACATCAGTTTAATTGTTTTAGTGACCAGAAAACAAATTTTGATATGCGTCGGCTTACCCAAAATGAAAGGTTACGTGCCCTTGGCATGCTACAGATCGGCACAACACAGGCGGTTGTGGCGCGGACGATGAATGTTTCTCAGTCTGTCATAAGCAGGCTATGGTCCAGATACCGTGATACACAATCTGTACAGGACAGACCACGCTCAGGTCGACCAAGGGCGACAACTAAAGCCCAGGATCGATTTATCCGTACCTTGGCCTTGAGAAATCGTGTCATCACAGCAAATCAGATCAGCGCTCGTCTTCAAACAGACACTGGTGTGAAAGTGAGTGGCCAGACGATTTGGAATCGACTGCATAGGGGTCACCTTCGCGCCCGACGTCCTCGCGTGATCCCTTGTTTGAGAGATCATCACATTCAGGCAAGACGTCGTTGGTGTAGGGATCGTCAACACTGGGAGAATCGACGCTGGAGCAATGTGATGTTTTCAGATGAGTCAAGGTTCACTGTTGATTTTTTGGACAGACGTAGGAGGGTGTGGCGTCGTCGAAACGAGCGCTTCCAAGACGTTAACGTCATCAGGCATGATCGATTTGGGGGTGGTTCTGTTATGGTGTGGGGAGGCATCACTGTTGCTGGAAGAACGGCTTTACATGTTGTTGCAGGGCGTGTTACAGGCCAGTACTACCGGGACAACATCTTGGCAGTCCATGTTGTGCCGTTCGCACGACGTCATGGCCGCCGTTTCATCTTCCAGGATGACAACGCAAGATGTCACAGGGATCGTTACAGGTTACCTCCAACAACAGAACATCACCACATTACCTTGGCCAGCACTGAGTCCCGACCTCTCCCCCATCGAGCATGTCTGGGACATGCTTGGACAGAGGTTACGTCAACGTCAACAACGTCCTGCCAATGTCCAAGAACTTGCTGCTGCGTTGCAACAGGAATGGGACAATCTGGACCAAAATGACCTTAGACATCTCATTAGGAGTATGCCATGTCGGATCAATGCTTGTTTGGCAAACAGAGGAGGATTTACCTGTTACTGACTTGGTTGTGATGCTGTGGTAACTTTGCTGTTTGACCCCGGGTATCATTTTACCCTTATAATGGTCAGTCTGTGCCTTACTTAGTCTAACGATCATTTGGAATAAATCGATGAATGTGAACTTC